AATCAACGTGTTGTATGCATGTAGTATGAATGTAGAGCGCCCTCTCTCACCAGAGCAGGGTAGGACGGATATCCTCTACTTTTTGCCCACACCAAATCCAGAGGTTCAGGTTCAGGCGCATCCCCATTTGACAGAGCATCTGCATAGAACGAGGACTCTAGTATCCACTTGTGCACTCAAAAAAAAAAATATATATATTGACATTTCTTTGGGATTCATTTCTTACCAGTCCCAGTGTAGTCAAAGTCTCCGTTAACAGTTTCTAAGAAAGGTGCTTTGGACAAAGCAGGTTTCCCTCGGCTCTTTTTTGGAGTTGAGACACTGAAAGCAACAGAAATTATGAGTTAACCGCACATGTGAGCTATATGATGCAGAGAGGTTTCAGTCATTCATTTTTCCTCTTACAGTTCTCTGAGAATCGGAGATGAGCTGCATTCTGAGTCAGAGGCGCCATCTCTGTGCTTTCTGAATCCGTTGGTAAGAGCTAAAAAAAAAAATATTGAGAAAAGGTTGTTCGAAAAAGGTTTCATTAATAAAAAGTATTATCCATACCACAATTTCAGTTGTCATGAAAAACTATTTTGTCCATGCTTTGTAAAATGTAAATCCCCTCCAAGGCCTTCACTCGTTCATGGAAAATGTAATACAAAAGCGAGTTTGTAATGGTTATGATGTCAAACCATAAGCATATTTTCATATTGTTTAAGGTCATATAAATATTAAATTTATAAAGGTGAAAGAAACTTTGAACGTGAGAAGTACAAAACATTTTTTTATGAAAAAGTCTTGACTAATATGTCATTTACAGTGGCGATAGCAGTTATTTTACAAGTAAATAAGTCAAGGTTACAATTAAAAGCTTGTTAGTTAAACATTAGAAAATGAAGAAATAAGAACATAATATTAGTATTGTAATTTTACAGCGGGACAGCATTTTCCCCCACTAAATACTTGTAGAATATACTTGTACAATAGCAATATTTCTTATTTTGTTTAATATTTTG